CTCAAAATAAAGGCTCAAAGCAACAGGTCACATCTTTACAAGAGGGATCAAAATTTGATTGCCCATCCTCGGAATCATTCAGGCTGTCAACATTTGAGGCGAGTCGGCGGTCTATTTTGATGGTGCACGGGATGCTGGTCGAATGGTGGGGTCGTGATGAGGCGTGGGCTCCACCAAATTTTGTCAGTGGCGTTGAGCTCGGAAAACAGGGTACCCCTTCAGATATCCAATTCGAATGAAACTTCTCATGATCACTTGGTACACTGATAGAAGATGAGGTAAACGAGGTCAACGAGCGAAACTAAGTATCGTGTGGGTCGATCTCAATTAGTCGGGACACGGCCCTTGACTCGTTGCTAATGGATAAGACAAGCTTACCCTGTGGTTCAACCAGCAACCGGTGTAGAGCCTGCGCCCGAATTCAATCTTCCGAGTGCGATGCGCCGTAACTTAGGCCATGCCAAGCAGCCTCGAGGGTTCGGCACGATTTTTTGCCCAGAGATGAATATCCACCTTGATATATTTGTCCCAGAGACTTCACTTCTACTACTAGTAGCGAGCTATATCCTGTCAAGTAGATCGTAACGAAGTAAGCCCGAGACTAGAACCACAATACGAAAGCAATAAGAGGATCACAGGATGCATATCAGCAAGGAAAGTGTGGGTATTCAACTAGAGTCATTACTGGAATCGTCAATAGTAGCGGGGAAGCGTTGCAGGTACGATGGCTTATCTTAGGATGAGGAACTCTTAGAGAAGCTAATCGCTAGAACGCCTAGAAAACATTGTCATTAGATATAGGATACGGGCCTTTGGGGTACCTCAGTAGGCCATCTCTTTGTCCAAAGACCCAGGGAGGTCGGGGTTTGACATTTGTTCAGTAAGTCCAGTGCTCAAGAGCGCAACCTTGTTCAGTGGATCATTTTGGAGATCACCTTTCACTTCTGATCTGGAAAGATGCGCACACGTTGTAAATTCATTTTGCATACATACGGCTCGCGGCTTTTCAAGGCAAAGATGATCTCTTTACCACGAGAGAAATGAATATCAGATGCTGTATTGAATATATTTTATAGATTATTATATATTTAAGGTAAATTCGATTAATTGACCCTGAAATCATGAAGCGGAAGCACCTGGCCATCTGTAAGGGGGAACAGCGAGTCACGTCGGAAGCTCACCTAATAAAGTAGAAGGCCTTCGAGCACAAACTTGACCTCTCTTCACATAATCTATAATTGGAATAAGTGAATATTGTATTGTGAAACTTGCATGTAATTATACTTACGAACTTTTACACTCGGGCAGGTGGTTATAAAAGGAAGATCAAGGTTAGACCACACGCTCCTTGGCTATTTGTACTCGCCAAGTCAGAATCTGTGAGTAGGGATTACTAAGGGTATGTTCCGGCTTCTACATACTGAATTCCATCTGATAGTATCTCTAAATTGTTACAGCATGGACCTCGCCGGTCCCACTAAAACGTGGCACTCGATATTGTCATAGATCCACCATGTTTCTATGTCTAGGTTAATACAATATACAAAATGCTTCTTCTTAACAGCATGGCTGGCTCGCTCTACGCTTCTGTCGGCACACCAGACCCAATTTAGGTTCAGACCACCGAAGGAATATATTGAAGATTCACCGGCCGTAGAACCAGCAATGAGAAATGGATTGCTCTCTGGTGTTTTCTGGCTTCCTAAACGCGAGAGTCGTCATCACGAGCTGTCCAAACGTGCAGCGCACATGAGAGGGTCGACACAGGTGCGCCCTTTCCGAATTCATAGACGCTCGTCCTATACTCATTTCCCCACAAGTCTGAAGAACTGCAACACAT